GTAATCATTTTTACTTTTAAAAACTTTTCCCAGATGAGCACCAATAGCATCACTACTGATCATAAAGTTCATTAAACAATTCGTCACCAACGTGAGTATCACCCTTACCGACCTCTGTGTTGGATCGTTTGACTGGTAATACTGCTAGCGTACATATATTTAAATATATTCATATATAATTCATATAAGTGACACGCTTCTAAGCCTACTATACTGGAGGGTAATGTGTGACTGGATGTATACAATACACTGAATATAAAAACAGGCACATTTCTAGCCAAAAATGAATAAATACACAATTACCAACCGACAATGCACGTCACTGAAGCGGGCAGAAGGTTACGTCATCAGTTAGGTTAATCTGTAGACGACGCTGGTACTGATGTGCAGCAACACTCTCCATCTCACAGCTGTTTCGGATTACAATATCTCTACGATAAAACAGACGAACGACACTTGTACGAAGGCAACGCCATCATGAAACAGTATTACAAAAGCTTAAAAAAAAAAACGAAGTATGGAAATAATAGGAATAAATAATGATAATAATGATATAAAAGAATGATCACACGCACCGAGCGGGAGAAAAAAAAAAACAAAAACAAAAAAAGAGGAGCGTTCGCACAACTCCGGATTCACGAACGCGAGCGAGGCGGATTCCTCTCGCGAACGCAGTAAGGACATCTGTGCGTTTAGCGGATGCCGGAAATTTTGGGCTAACGTTGACAAAGGACAGCGAATTAGCGAATTTCCGGGTGTGTTTACAAGCGCTGGGCTTTGATCTGTACAGTTTTGTGCGAGTGCGGACAGGCCCGCTTCAGCCATCCAAATATGTACAAAAAACATTCATTAAAACTTGAGTGTACAATGCATAGGCATGTCAGAGATACTGTTGCAACTTAAACCAATTTACAGGTTGTCGAACGCCCGTGTTCGGTTTTGATGAGAATTATACTGGTCTATATAACTGTCATCTCCATTGTCTCGTTCATAGTTATGTGTCGTCATGAAACTATGTAAATAAAACATAATAAAAGTTTTCATATGAATAAGTCCAAGGATTCAATACATTCAGAAATCCAAAATATCTCCCATAAGTGACAAAGTAATTCATATATAATTCATTCATCAGTTTACATACTTATACGTGAGTTTCTCCAAATCACCATTCATAAACCTGATCATTTTTTGTGTGTGTGTGTGTGTGTGTGTGTGTGTGTGTGTGTGTGTGTGTGTTGTGTGTGTGTGTGTGTGTGTGTGTGTGTGTGTGTGTGTGTGTGTGTGTGTGTGTGTGTGTGTGTGTGTGTGTGTGTGTGTGTGTGTGTGTGTGTGTGTGTGTGTGTGTGTGTGTGTGTGTGTGTGTGTGTGTGTGTGTGTGTGTGTGTGTGTGTGTGTGCGTGTGTGTGTGTGTGTGCGTGTGTGTGCGTGTGTGCGTGTGTGTGTGCGTGTGTGTGTGTGCGTGTGCGTGTGTGTGTGTGCGTGTGTGTGCGTGTGTGTGCGTGTGCGTGTGTGCGTGTGTGTGTGAATCTAACCTTTTCTGAACATCGCTGCTCGTATCATGTTTTGACACTTCGAACACTAAAAGACACAGTGAATGCTTATGAAAACACGTTTTTCTCTCTTTACAGTGTGGAAAGTGACGGAAAATCGAAAAAAAAGTGACTGAGAAATTATGAAATTATGAGCAATCATAATTATGATTTCATAATGATATATACTTGAATTAGGTCTTTTATCTTATTTATCTTAACATTAAAATCCTAAGTAATACTAATACAATCCAGGTACGATATCGAGATCATGATTTAGGTTAGAAATTTTTTTCTTTATTATCTTCTTGCATTGAGTAGTTTTATCAGAAATAAATTGCCTAAAAATAAGACTGAATTCCACTATGTCTTTGATCTTTCTTTCCTGTACAGTCAATTCAATCCTTCGTGTTTTCCACAAAATACTTTAAATTTAATAATAAAACTAAATCGACGCGTTTACTAATCCCCTCTTGACAGGAAAGGAAGGAGAAAGGTGTTCACAAACTGAAAATTTTTTTTTTTTTTTTTTTGAAATATACAAAATGAAATCAATATTTGCCCTCGACTCGTACAGCAAAACCTGTAAAACCAAACTGATTCATGTTCAATTTAAGACGTTGAATCATTCACCAAATCGCCCTCATAGCATTACTATAGCCACGCCCAATAAAGCTGAACTAATCCTCCCACACTCAAAACAGCATTAAATTCTGGATACATTAAGCCACTGGGCAAACTAAACTCTATAGCCATAGAACTATCTCCTGAGAGACCCAGACACGGCTTGTCTCGCCACGCGGGGTCTCGAGCCGTCAATCGATGCCTACAAAGGTCATTAGCAGCAGAGATCAACCACAACAATGGCCTTAACAGTTACATCTCCAGTACTTCGTTACAGGAGGACATCAAAAGCATCTCTTCCGTTCGAGATGCTACAAGCAACAGATAATAACCCACAAAAGAAATATGCTTTATATAGTGCTCACACTCATAGCAAGGTGCCTTGGGTAGGGAATCCTTAAAAGGTTATACTATTATCCATTATACGGTTAAATCTCTCGCAGATGTGACCGACTGCTTGGCTCGGTCTGTCAACAAGGGACGTTCGGTAATACGATGATCTCCAGGAAAAAAAAAAAATATGACACTGTGGTATACACTATATTCAATTTCTGCAAGTCGTATCTCTCCGAAAAAAGAAACCCCAAGAATAAACCTGCGAGTTGACATGATACATAAATACATACACATATAATTCTTATCATTACTTACGAAAAGACACGAACGCCTACCACATATGTCGCAGTGGCCCCCCCAACCACTGCGCGAGTACCTCTGACCGAGCCACGCAGCCCCGCTCATCTGCTGAACACACACATATAGCTATTTGTTGCCTCTGCCACACTGACCCTCTGTATCGTCCTTCCTGTATCCAGTGTACCCGTATGTATCCTCTGCTCGTCAGGCGGGGAGGGTTGTTGCCGACTCCTAACTGGTGACTGGCTAGTAAATGCTATTTTTCTATTTTGTTTGAAAATATCAAAACTTCTGCTTCCAGCTCCGATACGTTGACCTTTCACGGAATATCAAAACACTCTTGGCTTTTTTTTACAACTCAAAAGGAAAACTAAAACTGCAATTGAAGACCGCACAGGAAAGAATTTGACTACAGTGGCAGCAGGAGGTGCAGTCAATAATTTGCCTACCTATTCATGGATTGTTACATTTATAATATTGTGTTGAGTTTCAATTTATATGAATTTACTAGTGATCCAATATATATATATTTGTGTGTGTGAGTGCGAGTGTGAGTATGAATGTGTGTGAGTGTGAGTATGTGTGTGTGTTTGAGTGTGTGTGAGTGTGAGTGTGTTTGTGCCCACCTCATAAGATTATGGCTATTATTATCATTTTTATTTTTAATAACGAAATGTTTCTTTTGAAAGTTTCCAATTTTATATATAAAGATATGACTGAAATTTCTCTAAAATAAGGAACTTACAATATGTTAAGAAAAATGAATATTAATAAATAAATGAATAAACTCAATGTCACTAAATGTGATATTTTGTCAACCAATATTTGGTGTCAATTTGTCACGCATTAACACATACATGTTGCACACTTACTGTCCATCACTCATGTCAAAATGAACACTCATACTCCAAAACTTCCTCATCTACATCTTTCTCCTTACTCACGACCTGCTATCACTCACAACCTGAGATTCACTCACTCAGACCCTACTCCTCATTGCTATCATTCACTTACAACCTGAAATTCACTCACTCACACCCTACAACTCATTGCTATCATTCACTCACAACCTGAGATTCACTCACTCAGACCCTACACCTCATTGCTATCATTCACTTACAACCTGAAATTCACTCACTCAGACCCTACTCATTTCTATCATTCACTTACAACCTGAAATTCACTCACTCAGACCCTACTCCTCATTGCTATCATTCACTTACAACCAAAGATTCTCACTCAGAACCCACAACTCATTGCTATCATTCACTTACAACCTGAATTCACTCACTCAGACCCTACTCATTTCTATCATTCACTCACAACCTGAAATTCACTCACTCAAACCCTACACCTCATTGCTATCATTCACTTACAACCAAAGATTCTAACTCAGACCCCACAACTCATTGCTACCATTCACTTACAACCAAAGACTCTCACTCAGACCCCACAACTCATTCATACCCCGCAGTTCACCCACAATTACCCTACAACTCCTTTTATATAGTTACTGGTCATTCATAACCAACTACCTGTTTCGGGCGAACGACTGTACAACGCGCTCGTCACATCACTATGCAAATTTCTTTATCTCTATTTACCATACTTGGGATAATTTTGAAGCACGTCATCAATACCTGAATGAGAATTTATAACCAAATACCCTAATTAACATTTAGGATACAGCTAAACCAAATATCCTGATTAACATTTAGGATACAGCTAAAAGAAAACCAAAAAATAAATAAAAGAAGAAAAAAAAACACTTATCCTTACGACTACATGAATAAAACCAAAAATTTCGGATGAAAAGATCGCTCTACATCACGGAAGAATATATCAAAGAATGGTTCGCACTACTTGGAAAAAAGGTGAAAGCAAATGGAATATGCAGAGGTCGCTTTGACATCTCATTATGTGTGTGTGAACGTAACACTCAAGAATCTCCACTAAACAGTATTAAACTTTCTTTATCCTGGAGATCGCTGGCTTAGTGTTTTTTTTTTTTTTTTATGTGTTGCTGTTCTTGTTCCATTTTCTCTTTCTTCTTCCTCTGCTTCTGTCGAAATTAAAGGTTATTTGATACGTCGCAGGGTGAACTCGCCCCTCTGACGTCACGGGAGAAAACATTGTCTCCGCGAACTTCTTTTGTTTTTTAGTTTATATATATATAAATATAAATAAATATAAATATATATATATACACACGTGGGGCTTCTGTTACCATAAGGGGAGACGCTGTAACATCACAGGTTAAGATGAAACTACCGCCGATGCATATATGATGCGTTTCGTCTTTTAACAACTACTATATACCAAGGAGGAGACGGAATATATGGTGTTGTTTATGTTTTAGGCGAGGCTAAATATTTATGAGAATAATACCATTATTATTATTATTTATCATTATTATTATTATTAATATTATTATTATCATTATTATTATTTATTTTCCCATTACAAAAGACTTGTTGCTTCTCATCGGAACAAATTCGATAGCAGAGGAGAGACGACAAAGATTAAGACGATGGAGATACGAGCGAAAAATAAACACACGATGCTTTGTCAAGGGATTTTCAAGCACCTCAAGTCAAAAGGGATTTTTTCCTATTCTGTTTCGCAGGATTAATATTATATCACTTTTAGATTATGGCTCGAGAGATACGATAAAAATTTCTTCACAAAACAAAGTGCGGAGGAATACTACAAATTTTCGTTTATAGTAGAAATACATGTCCCACTCTTATCATCATAAAAAAAAAAATAATGTGACCAAAAACATGATATGAAACGGAAACTCTTCGCAGAAACCATGATCTAGAGTCAATAAAAAGGTTCTAATTTTGGCAATAAAAGTCAGATGTACAAAACAGAACTCGAACAGAATTGTTTACGTGTCGCTTGAAAAGAAGAAAAGGGGGAAAAAATATATAAAATCGATTTCCTAGTACCATCCCTCTCCGTCGAAAGATAAATTTAGAAATGTAACTTCTTTTTCGTTTTAGACTGACAACACAAGACAACTAAGAAGAGGAAAAAGAAAGAAAAAAAAAACGAAACACGATGTAAATATCACATTGGCATGGAGTTTCCCCTTTAAGAAATATTCAGTTTTATGGCAATATTTCCTTTTCAATTTTTTGATCAATAACAAAACACACTTTTCAGAACAGAAAAAAAATGACAGTGCGCGAGAATTACTTTGAAAACACTGATAAAAACAAACAAACAAAAATACGGCGAGGTGAACACAAGGAACCACGCAATAATAATAATAATAATAAAAAACACACAAAAAAAACACGCGATTCTGGCTAAGATCGTCGGAGTGGCACTAAGAGCCGTCGTCTCGTGGCACTCCACAAAATACCCGCTTTCCCACAAGGCCACAGGGTAGTGATCAGCCAAGGCCCATGCCAAGCAGAACTCCCATACCCACTCGTCTCGTTCTGGTCCTGTCTATGCTTTAGATATTAACTCTTTTTTATTAACCTATGAAGGTGTCAAAATTAATGGCGTCTGGTTAATCATTGTACTTTAAGAGATTTAGAATACAATTTTCAAAATGATCTTTAATTACCTTGTTCTCCCTCCTCCCCCCTCCCCCCCCTCGGAATGTTAAGAAATGAAATAAAAATCACAGCACATCAGTCTTTCCAACTTCTTTTAATATGGATATAAACTGAAAAAAAATATATAATAAATCTCCAATCTAAAAAAAAAGAGAAAAATCTTATACCTAAGAACATTTTATGGGAATTTTTATACAAAAAAAAAGAAAAAAAAAATAAATAAATAAACGAGAACATTTTATAGGAATTTTTATACAAAAAAAAGATAAATAAATAAATATAAAAATAAATAAATAAACGACACACATGACCTGGCTGGCTGATCACGCTTCTGTGACCGATCACTTATTTCAGATTATTTCTATCTTTATCACTTATTTTATTTCAAAAAGAACAAAAAAAAAAAATCAAACGGGACGAGCTTAAATGAGGATTTCTGAACTCCATTTAACTGAGTTCTTGGAAAGAGATTTCATGCTTGCTAGTTTTAAGATTATATATATAAATATATATATATTTAAGGATATAGATTTGTATATGTGTATATATATGTATATGTATATATGCACATACACACATACGTGTGAGTATATGTGTATATATATATATATATATATATATATATATATATATATATATATATATATATATATATATATATATATATATATATATATATATATATACATATATATATATGTGTGTGTATTTATGTAGGTATGCATATATGTATGTATATATGTATATCTGTATGTATGTGTACATATATGTATATACATATATATACATACATATATATTATATATATATATATAATATATATATATATATATATATATATATATATATGTGTGTGTGTGTGTGTGTGTGTGTGTGTGTGTGTGTGTGTGTGTGTGTGTGTGTGTGTGTGTGTACACACGTATACACATATGCACATATACATATATATCAAATCTGAGTTTCACAGCAAAAGAGCATTCAAAGTGTGACGTGTATATATATATTTAATAAGAAGAGAAATCAGCGAAGAAAAGAGTCCTGAAAATATTTCGCCTTCCACTCGGGAGACCCAACGGGATTCTCCTCGGAGTCAGCCCAGCCTCGGCGAGAGACCACGGCGCTGTCTCACTCCATCTCGGTTCCCCCTTTCCGCTTCTCGCCCAAGTCCGCTTCGTTCTCTCCTTTTCCTCGTGTTCTTTCTACTTCCAGTCAAGGTATTTCACACAAAGGAAAACGGGGAGGAAACACTACAGATGCCACAGTGTTTTTTTTTTCTTTCTTTTTTTTCTCTCTCTTAGATCACAGCGTTCACTTGTATCTTCCGACTCTATTTCCATCGTTTATTGAGTTTTTCTTTTATTTTCTATTATCGTATTTATCATATGTACCAGAAGATACAACGAGCCACTCTTATCTTATAAAAAAATTGGCTTTTTTTTGAAGAAACCTCTTTAATTGTCACTCTTTAACAAGTCCATCATTTCTTCGTCCAGTAACTCTGTCCCACACTCCTCACCACCAACAACACTCAATCACCATCAACATCATCATCATCATCTTTCATCCTCATTCGTTTTCCTCCGTCTTCTCCTCTTCGTTCTCTTCTGCCGTTCCGTTGTTCTCCTTGTTCTCGTCTTCTTCCTTGATCGTGTCCTCTATCACGGAGTCCTCTGCGTCGCCGTTGACCTTCTCGTTTCTGAGGGCGGCCTCGGCTCGGAGCTCGGCGTCTGGGGAGGCGGAGGGATGGTGAGTGGGAGGGAGTGAGGGGGGGAAGAGAGGGAATAAGAGGGATAGAGAGGGAGTAAGAGGGATTGGGAGGGAAAGAGAGGAAGTGGGAGGGAGTGAGAGAGAGTGTGAGTGGAAGAGAGGAGGAGGGGAAGAGAGGGGAAGAGAGGGAGCGGGAGGGGATTAGAAGGAGTGAGAGGGAGTGCGAGGAGGTAAGAGGGGGGTAAGAGGGGGTGAGAGGGAGTGAGAGGGTGAGAAGTGAAGGAGGTGTGATGGAGTGGGAGGAAAAAGTGGAAATGGAAAGGAGTGGATGTAATGGAGTAATGGTAGGGGTGGGGGGATGGAGTGGAGTGGAGTGAGTGGCAGTGGGAGTGAGAGTGAGAGCAAGAGAGAGTGGAAGTGAAAATGGGAAAAATTATTATTTCATTCATCAGGCACTGTGAGACTTATCATACAATCCTATGATGGAATGTGCCATGTCTATCTGATATGGTATTACATAGCTTATAATTCAAACAAAATATATAATTACTTAATTCAACATAACTAGTTATTTAAACTATGTTCCTCTGGCGAAAAAAAATATTTTACACTGCTGCAGGTTATATAATGTATATAATCATACTGAAATTACTTAATAAAACCTATGATTTCATAAACCAAATACAATATTTATCTATCTATGTATCTATTATCATACCTATCTTCCCCTTTCCACTATCTATTTATCTATCTATCCATCATAATACCTTTCCCTTTCTACTATCCATCTATCCATCTATCACCAAACTTTACCAGCCTCGCCTTATCCATCTATCTATTCATTATCATATCTTTCTTCCCTTTTCCATTATTTATCTATCTATCTGTCTTATTGCCCACTCACTATCCATTTCATCCACCAACCAAACCCTTGTCCAGTTCTTATCAATCTGTTTATCTATCCATCATACATTTCTATCTTTACTATCTATCTATCTATCAGTCTATCCATCCCACTACCTTTCCACTATCTATCAAACTACATCATACCTCCCCTTTCCACTATCTATCTATCTATCTAATTATCTATCTATCCATCCATTCCACCTACCTTCCAACCCACTTACTATCCAATTCATCATAAAACATTACCCAACCACCTTCCTCCCCCAACCAACATCCACGCCCTTCGTGCAATACCCACCTCCCCAACCAACCACCCACGCCCTTCACACCCCCGAACCTCCCCCAATCACCCACCCAACCACCACCCTTCACGCCCCCCAACCAACACCCCCACCCCCCCCTCCCACCAACCCACCCCCACCCCAAACCAACCACCCACGCCCTACAACACACACCCCCAACCGCCAACCACCCAACCCCTCCCAACCAACCACCTTCACACACCCACCCAAACCAACCCCCACCACCAACCCCCACCCTCACCACCACCCACACCCTTCCATCAACCCCCCAACCCCACCCACACCCTTCACGCCCAAACCAACCACCCACACCCTTCCCATCAACCCCCCCCAACCAACCCCCTCACGCCCCTCCTCACCTTTGTGGCTCGCTCCTTCCATCGACTCTTGTTCGCCGAGAGGCAGTCCTGCCACGGGCGCCGCACCTCCGAGCCCACAACACCACAGGGTCGGACTGGGCGTTTGATGGGACCTCCGGGCTCTGCAACGACCGGTGGCATCAGGTGGTCTGCTCTCCCCGGTAGAAAGGGGGGAGGGGAAAAAAAGAGGGGGAAAAAACGAAAAAAAAGGGGATATGAATTAAAAAGAAACGTTGGGATGTGTGGTGGGTGTGGGTGAACTAAAAATGCGAATTGGAGGGAAATTAAAAATAAAAATAAAGATAAGGGTCTAGGCAAAATAACAGAAAAAAAAAAATAAAATTAAAGATATGGGTCTAACAATAACAGAACTAAATAAATTAAAATAAATGAAACAATAAAAAATATGCTCTAAACTTGGAATAAAAAGTAACAACAAAAATGAAATAATAATGCAGAGAAATAAATGAAGAAAAATCAAACAAAATCAAAGCAAAATTTAAATTACAAATATCAAAATCAAATTAAAACAGATTCCTTTCATTTGGAAGGAGGAAAGTATATAAGGAGGGCAAGAGAAGGAAGCGCACAGTGGATAGGAAGAGGAAAGAAGGAAAGGGAGTAGAGAAGAGAGGGAAGTATTAAGGAAAAAGGAGAGAAGTAAGGCTAATATGAAAGAAAGGAAAGACTTTGGGAATATAAGGAAAGAATGAAAATCAAGAAAATGAATGAAGGAAATGGAAATATGAAAGAAGAGAGGAGATTAGAAGCATTCAAATTGGAAAAGGGTTAAAAGGAGATTGGAAATCCAGAGAAGGTAAAATAAATGTGTGAAGAAACGAATGAAAAAGATTGGAAAGGAACGAAAAAGACAAGAAAATAAAAAGAGGATAAACTCAAGGAATGCAACACAAAAACGCTTAAAAAAAGACCAGTCCAAGAAGAGGAACACGATAAAGAAGAAGAAGAAAAGAAAGAGAAAGAGAAAGGAAAAAAAAAGGTGAAGAAAAGACAAAGAAGAAAGAAAATAGATAAATCGAAGAATGAAAAGAAGGCGAAGAAAAGAAAAAAAATGAAGTATAAATCCAAGAAAGGAAAAGAAGAAAAACGAAGAAAGAGAAGAAGAAAAACGAAGAAGAAAGAAAAAAACGAAGAAAGAGAAAAAACGAAGAAAGAGAAGAAGAAAAACGAAGAAAGAAAGAAGAAAAACGAAGAAAGAAGAATAAGAAAAAAAGAAAAAGAAGAAGAGAAGAAGAAAACGAGAAGAAAAAAAGGAAGAAGAAAAAGAAAACCGAAGAAAAAAAAGAAAAAAAAAAAAAAAAAAAGAAAACCCAAAGAAAGACCCAGAGACCAAGGACTCACCATTCTGCGGTTCCTCGGCGATGGTGGGCGTGGAGGGGGGGACGGAGAGGGCGGCCACTTTGTCCAGCAGGTCTCCGCAAACGCCCAGGCTGGGGTCCACGATGAAGTCTATGAAACCTGTGGGCGTGGAAGGAGGAGGAGGTGGAAGTCTTAGAACATTTCGATTTATTGTGGAGGTACATCTGTTCATTATAAAAAATAATAATGAAAAAAAAAAAAAAAAAAAAAAAAATAATAATAATAATATAATAAATATATATATATATATATATATATATATATATATATTATATATATAATATATATATAATATAATATATATATATATCTATATCTATTATATATATATATATATATATATACATATATATATATATATAATGTGTAGTTTATTCATATCTGAAGAGCTGATGTTCATTCTATAAATTTGAAAACAAATTATTGATATCTGAAGTACATCTGTTCATTATATGAATTTAGAAATATGTGTAGTTTATTCATATCTAGATACATCTGTTCATTATATAAATAAATAAAAAAACATGTGTAGTTTATTCATATCTGAACTATATCTGATCATTATATAATTTTTTAAAAAAGTGAATCATTATATCTAATCTGTTCATTATTTTAAAAAAATATGTGTAGTTATTATATCTTGATATGTCCTGTCTGTTTATTTTTATGCATACACATGCATAAGGTTGTACTTGTGTGTCTGTAAGTACTGTATGTTGGATGTGTGAATATGTGCGTGTGCGTGTATGTTTGCATGCATGCATATATGATGTATACGTACATACAAGCTGTATGCACGCATGTATATTTCCATGCACACACACACACACCACACACACACACACACACACACAACACACACACACACACACACACACACACACACACACACACACACCACACACACACACACGCACACGCACACACACAACGCACACGCACACACATGCACACACGCGCATATATATATATAATATATATATATATATATATATATATATATATATAATATATATATATATATATATATACATATATATATATATATATATATATATATATATATATATATATATATATATACATACAAATATCTCACACACACAAACATATACACATATCCCAATCTACCCATCTCCTTCATCCTCAAAGGGACACACGTGGCATCCTTTGGTAACGAATCCCCACTCCGTTCGCACACGGGACGAGACACTCAAGTGCACCTAATTTACCAAATGACGGGACGCCACAAACGCCTCCATGAAAGAGCTTTTGGAAGGCCGTGTAAAGAAGCGGGCGTCGTGTGGGCGTGGGAGGGATTTCCGGGATGGATGAGTGATCACTCGCCCGAGTCCGGTAAACACTCGGGGTAAATACAGGCGCCCACACGCCCACTCGCGCGTTTGTGTCGCTGGCGAACGGGCATATTACACGCGCCCACGCACATGCATTCATTCGCTCATGTACACTCACTGGCTCATGGACATTCACTGATTCACATACACTCACTCACTCCACACTCATTCACTCACATACTCTCACTCACTCACATACACACACTTACTCACTCACTCGCACCCACGCACTCACTCACTCACTCCGCACTCATTCACTCACATATACTCACACACATACACGCACTCACTCACTCCGCACTCGCATACAAACGATCACACACACACACACAAACAGGGAAACAAACAGATGTAGATTTTAAAACAAAGAGAGAAGATGGAAGAGGGAAGGAGAACGAAAGAGTGAAAAATAAGTGGAAAAAGAGATATGAGAAAATGGAAATTGAGTAAAAAGTGAGCGAATGGAAAAGATGAAGGAAGAAAAGAAGGAGAGAACGAGATGGAGGAAGAAAAGGAGAGAACGAGAAACAAGAAGGTAAAAGAGCGGAAGAAAAGACGAAGAGAAGGTATAAAGTCAAAGAAGAAGGGGGAGGTGGAAGAGAGGAGGAGGAGAGTGAGGAGGAAGAGAGGGAGAGAAGGAGGAAGATGCTTAATAAAAGGAGGAAGAAAAGAGGATAGGATAAATCAGCAAAAATAAGAACACAAATCCGATAAAATGAAGAGAAAAATAATAGAAAAAGAGAGAAGGGAAATGGGAAAAGAAAATTTAAAAAGTGCGAAGAAGGAAAGGACAAAAAGGTGGAGAGAAGGAAGAAAGTGGGAAACGACAGACCTACGAAAATGGGAAGAGGAAGAAGATAAACGATAAATTACAGGGAATGAAAAGCAATGGGAGAAAAAAGATGGAGAAGAAAAATATAAATATAAATAGAGGTAAAATAGTATAATCATATTACGTAGAAAACGAGGAAGAAGGGTAGAACAAGAATGGGCAGAAGAAAAGGAGGAAGAAAGAGTAGAAAGTATAAGAGGAGAAGAAGAATGATTAATGAAAAAGAACGAAGAAGAAAATGATGTAAAAATAAGTCTCCTTTGATATAGAAGTTGAAGACGATGAAGATGAGGGAGAAATGAGAATAAAATAAGAATAAGAATAATAAGAAAAAAAGAAGAAAAAGAGGAAGAAAAAAAAATAAGTCCTTGTTAATGTAAAAGAAAAAAGCCGAAGAGAGAGAATTAACAAAAAAAAAAAAGAAAGAAAAAGAAAGAAAGAAAAAGGAAGAAAAAGGAAGAAAGAAAAAAAAACGTAAGTAGATCAAAACATAAACAAAACATGACGAACTACCTGCTCTCAGCGACAAGCCTGATATTCCTGAAGAAGGTACAATTGAAATAGAAGATATAAAGAAAAAAGACAACATCAGATATAAATAAAACATGAAGAGAAATGACAAGCGTAGAAATAAATGAAGAAAACACACACCCACACACGACAACCCCCACCCAAGCCACCCACACCACACCACACATCACACACACACACACACACACACACACACACACACACACACAGACACCCCTCCCACACACCACCCACCACTAAAATCCCCCCAAACATAAAAAAAAACCTCAAACTCACCTATCTGGCTCTCCGCGACGAGGGTGTTGTTCCTGTCGCAGAGAGGCGAGTAAGGCAGGCCGAGTTCGCGCTCCTTGTCGCCCTGCCTGAAGAACTCCTCCAGCAGCTGCGTGGTCCAGCGCTCGTGAAGGTGCCACGGCTTGCTCGGGTGGGAGATGTCGCAGCAGTGGAGCACCAGGGACAGGGCCTTGGCTTTGTCCAGGCTGTAGCACGAAGGGGGAGAGAAAAAGGGGGAGAGAGGAAGGGAGGTGAGTCTTTTGGTAAATACTGATTTTTGTGGTGGTGTTGTGTTACTTTTTTTCTTTTCTTTTTTCTGAGAAAGGGTTCTGGGGGAGAGGGGAACTAGTTATGTTTGTTATTATGCTCTTTAGTCACTCTTTGTCACGGTTTCCCCAGTCGCTCTTTCTATGTTTCGCTGTTCTCTCATTCTCTTCATCTCTCTCTCTCTCTCTCTCTCTCTCTCACTGCTCATGCCCCCAATCCCCTTCCTCCCTCTGTATCTCCCACTCCATTCCCTTCTCTCTTGTCCTTTTCTCCCGATCCCGTTCCTTCTAACTTTCTTTCTTCTGTCTCTCTCTCTCCTCTCTCTCCCTCCCTCTATCCCTCTCTCCCCCCCCTTCCTTCTAACTTTCTTTCTTCTGTCTCTGTTCTTTCTCTCACTCACCCTCCCTCTCCTCCCTCCCTCTCCCCCCCTCTATCCCTCTCTCCTCTCTTCCCTCTCCCCCTTTCCTCCCTCTCTCCCTCCCTTCCCCCTCCTCTCCTTCCACCACCTCCCTCCTCACTCCCCCTCCACCCCCCTCCCTTCCTCCCTCAACCCCCTCCTTCAATCCCCCCCCCCCCCCCACACACCCAACACCCCTTCCACCTACCTACCCTACCCTCCTCCTCCTTCCCTCCTTCCTTACCTAGTATCCTGCAGGGCCAGCATCGTCTTCATGGCCTTGATCTGCTGGAAATGCGACGACATGTCCGTGGCCAGCACCATCTCGATCACCAGCGAGCGAAACTCCCTGTATTCCTCGCGAGAAAGATTCACCAGCACGTTGTGGTCTTCGCCGCGCAGCAGTCTGCTTGAGGGGGGGAGGCAGAACGGGCAGAATGTCATGCTTGGGAGACTCGGAACATTGTAGTATCGATCTACTTATCTGTCTATTTATCTATCTACTTTTTAATATATCTTTCTCTCTATATACCTACTTATTTGTCTATCTACTTATGTATCTCTCTATCTACTTATCTATCTCTTTATCTATCTTTCTATTCATCTATCTACTTATTTATCTATTTATCTATCTACTTATCTACCTATTTCTCTATCTACTTATTTATCTATTGATCTATCTATCTATTATCTATCTATTTATCTATCTATCTATCTATGTATCTATTTATTCTATTTTTCTATTTATTCTATTTATGTATCAATCTATTTATTCATCTATATATCTGTCTATGCACATGTGTGTTGTGAGGGTGTGAAAGAGATGATGCTGATAGTAATAATAATGAAAGTAGTCATAGTTGCAGTTATAGCAGCAGTAGTAGTAGTAGTACTTAGTTGTTGTTGTAGTAGTAGTAGTAGTAGTAGTAGTAGAAGTAGTAGTAGTAGTAGTAGTAGTAGTAGTAGTAGTAGTAGTAGTAGTAGTAGTAGTAGTGGTAGTAGTGGTAGAAGTAGTAAAGTAGTAGAAGTAGTAGTAGTTAGTAGTAAAGTAGTGTAGTAGCAGCAGCAGTTGTTGCAATAATAGTACAGCAGCAGTTGTTAGCAATAAGTAGTAAGTGCAAGTCATCAAGTACAGTAGTAGTAGTAGTCGTAGAAGTATAGGAAGAGTAGTAGTGTAGTAGTAGTCAGTAGTTAGTGTAGTAGTAGTAGTAGTCAGTCGCAGTAGTAGTAGTCGCAAGTAGTAGTAGTCGCAGTAGTAGTAGTAGTCGCGTAAGTAGTAGTTCGCAGTAGTAGTAGTATTAATAGTAGTCGTTCAGTAGTTTTGTTATTGTTGTTATTGTTGTAGTAGGAGTAGTAGTTGTTATAATGACAACAATGACAATAATAATGATAAAATGATGATGATGACGACGTAATAGCAGCAGAAATGACAACACCCACTGATGAATATAATGAAAAGACACAAGAAGTCCTTTAGTCTCCTTCCTCTCAACCACAACTCCGGTTCTCTCTCTCCCTACTTAACCAATCCCATAAGCAATCTACACTATAACCATGTTCACTATCCTATTGGTAATATGAATATAGTATGTTTTTTTTGGGGGGGGGGATTATTAAGCTCACATATTCATGAGGACTGTGAGTGACAGTATGTGATGTGAATGAGGAAGCTTGAGGTCTTATGGTGATAGCCAAGTTTTGCAAAATAAAGAAATGGAAAGAAATTGTGATAAAATGTCTTAATAACGAATATTAAATGCTTATCATGTACGCGTGATTAGATATCAGATTAAATGATATGGCAATAGTGATAATCCTTTTCTAACAATAAAGGAATCTCAGACATATATATAAGACTTAGTAAATGAATAACTGAATAAATAATGAAAGACAAGAAAAAAAGGTTAAAAACACTCGTAAATTTTCTATCATCTTCGCCAAGCTAACCATCAACAAATGCATTAACGTCATCCCCAAAAAAGTAAGGAAGAAGAAGAAGAAGAAGAAGAAGAAGAAGAAGAAGGAGGAGAAGAAGGAGGAAGAGAAGAAGAGGAATAGAAAGAAGAAGAAGAAAGAAGAAGGAGGACGAGACGGAGAAGAGAGGAGGAGAGGAGGAGGACCGAAGAGGAGGAAGAAGAAGAAGAAGAAGGAAGGAGAAAAGAAGAAGAAAAAAAGAAAAAAGAGAAGAAGAAGAAGAAGAGACCGAAAGAAGAAGAAGGAAAAGCGAAGAAGAAGAAGAAGAAGAAGAAGACGAAGAAAAAAGAAGAAGAAGACGAAAAGAGCGAGGACACCCGACGAATTCCTCCAACACCCAGCATTCCACTCATGCAGCATGTCTTCCGCTGCATCATGCTGTCCTCCTGAGACTCGCCGTAATCTTTTCCTAGTAACCGGATCTCCCAACCTGCCTATGACGTCATTAGCCAACGCATCCGGGTCTCTGAGCAGTGTCATGACGTCAGCAGATAACATGACCGTCCGTGGAGGAACATGTTTTTTTCTTCTTTATTTTTTTTTATTTTTAGTTTTTTTTTCTTTGTCTACGTTTCGAAATGTGCGTGATTGGTGTGGGTCAGAAAGCTAATGACGATGATGACGGAAAAATGAATATGATTAACGTGGCTTCATTGGTCTGCATATGATGAGGCATTACATATCTCACATGCCTTAAAATACCGCATCTTCTACAGTCTATATAAACATTAACGGGAGCAAGACGAGATTTTTTGCAGGACTTTCAATACACTTTTCTTTCTGCTGACCTACCATTTCCTCGCAAAATGGCACCTGAGACCTGAGACTGAGCCACACTCACAAGATCTTACCATTTCCTGAGACCTGAGCCACACCTCACAAGACCTCCGAAGCCACACGGAAGAACCAAGCCATCGCTACCTTTCTCATCCTAACCTTCCGTTCAGTTAGATTTCCGAAGACCTGCCTTTTCTTCTAGAGCAACCCGGCCTGTGTCACCTATTTCCGGTCGACTCGCGTGTGATCCTTACCTGAAGGCGGCGCAGATGTGGTGGTTCTCGAGGACCGCGCGGTCGTTGTACAGGATGGCGGTCTCCGAGCCGGACATGACGTGGAAGTTGTTGGTGGTTCCCGTGTGCTCGTAGTCGTGGATGAGGGCTGCCATGAGCGTCGCCAGGATCTCCACGTCGTTCAGCCAGTTCTTGGAAGGAGGGAGGAGGGACAGATCAGGAAAAATAAAACCATGGGGAGGAAAATTACGAGAGGTGGGTAGAGTAGGGGGCGATAATTAAGAGCAACAGAGAAGCAAGAAGACCAGAGAGCACTGTGAGGTGTCGTCCAGTGATTCCGAAGGAGGAACAGGCGGAGAGGTAAAAACAAATGTAATAAGAAAATGAAAATAGAGGATGTTTGGACCCCAAAATTTAATGAAATTAAAGGTTCCACTTCCTCTAGCTAATTCTAGAAGAGGGGGGGGGAGGGGGGGAGGAGATGAAGGGGATAGGGTAAAAGCTAACAACAAGAGCAAGATCAAAACAAGTCAGAGGAACAGTTAGGCGAAGCAACAGCCGAAGCAAAGACAAAACAAGGAAACAGAAAAGCGGCTGAGAGTCAATTTTTTTTTTTTTTTTTTTTTTTTGGGGGGGGGGGGGGGGGTGAAGAAGAGACAGGAGGATACAAGATAAAATAAGAACGATAGGATAACAAGAAAATAAATTAAAGAGGGGAAATGACATGAAAAAATGCTTCATTCAGCAAAAGCTTCCGGTAGAACATAATAATTGGTGAGGAAGGTACAGTAAGTCAGTATCTACAAGAGAAAAGGAATGGAAAAACACCCAAAGTTACGAGCCAACAGAGGATAATTAGATAAATCACTTCAAAAAATAGAATAGAATAGAGTTAGTTGATTAATAGGGGGCCTTCTACAACCTTATTGACTATTCTGTTTCCTTTTCGGGTATTGATCAACGTTCTAGAAGACTTGGGTTTCTCACACACACACACACACACACACACACACACACACACACACACACACACACACACACACACACACACACACACACACACACTACTAAGGTTCAGCACTAGAAAAGAATATACTTAGCATATGTTTAGACACATATATTTAGCTCCTACTAAGGTTCAGCACTAGAAAAGAATATACTTAGCATATGTTTAGACTCATATATTTTACTAAGGTTAAAAAAAAAGTTAAAACTCTGCCTAATCCTTCTGACGTATATGGTAATGGTAGGCAAATAGAATTATGTTTGCCTGGTCATTTTTACTACTTTTTCTTCTTTTTTGTATACGGGGAAATCCCCTCTTACTTTAGACCGCAAAAACTGAAAATAAACAAGGAAATAACAGCTTTAAGTTGAATGACTGTGAAGGTCACTAAGTTGTATCCTATTTACTAGATTTATTTCTTCTTGTAAGAAAAAAAAAACTTTGGAATCTTCGCCTAATGTTGTGGTTACCCGAGAGAGAGAGAGAGAGAGAGAGAGAGAGAGAGAGAGAGAGAGAGAGAGAGAGAGAGAGAGAGAGAGAGAGAGAGAGAGAGAGAGAAGAGAGAGAAAGAGAGAGAAGAGGAAAGAGAAAGAGAAGAAGAGAAGAGAAGGAGAGAGAGAGGAGAGAGAGAGAGAGAGGAGAGAGAGAGAGAGAGAGAGAGAGAGAGAGAGAGAGAGAGAGAGAGAGAGAGAGAGAGAGAGGAGAGAGAGAGAAGAGAGAGAGAGGAGAGAGAGAGAGAGAGAGAGAGAGAGAGAGAAGAGAGAGAGAGAGAGAAGAGAGAGAGAAGAGAAAAGAGAGAGAAAGAGAGAGAAAGAGAGAGAGAGAAGAGAGAGAAGAAAGAAAGAGAGAGGCGAGAGAGAGAAGAGAGAAGAAAGAAAGCGAGAGGCGAAGATAGAAATATAAAAAAGCGAGGAAGAGATAAAAGAGCAAGAGCGAATGAGAAGGAAAAAAAGACCCGAGAGATAAAAAAAGGGTACGAAAGAGAAATACAGAACCACTTCGCGCTGAGAACCGCCAGCGACCGAACCAAAGCATCAAAAAGGAACGCACACATTCCCGCAATTCACCCAAACGATCCCATTAGTGCAAGAAGATTTAAGATTTAAGATTTAGTTTTAATTCCATTTATTACAATGGATATTCTCTGCTGTGACATACTGTCTGTTTTATTTTGCCCAAATCTCCCCCTGTGTGCAAGGAGTGGCCGGGGTTACCACTCACTGGCCGGGCGTGGGATCGAACGCAGGTCTCGTTAGGCTTGTACCTGCAATCACGTGAAACATCAAAGCACTGCATTTCAGCCACGTCAATCTGCTGACTCAAGATCCCTCGGCGTTTAATATGATGTTGGCTTTCTGCTGATCCACAACTGACGACTCGGATTCTCTCATGTCGACTGCAATTTATTCGATACTGGGGACGTTACGGTTGGGGTGAGACTGGCAGTTTCTCTGGGTTTTAGCAATTTAGTTTTCCCATCTCAATCTCTCTTTCTCTTTCGGTCTTTTTTTCTGTCTCTTTGTCTTTCTTTGTCTTTCTCCCCTCCCCCCTCTCTTCCTATCTCTCTTTCTGTCTTTTTATTTCTTTCTCTTTCTCTTCCCTCTGGGTTTTAGCAATTTATTTTTCCTCTCTCAATCTCTTTCTCTTTCGGTCTGTTTTTCTCTTTCTTTCTCTTTCTCTTCCTACACATCTTTCTTTCCCTCTCCCTCTCCCTCTCCCTCTCCCTCCCTATCCCTCTCCCTATCCTCTCTCTCTCTCCCTCATCCACATCCAGACACACACCCCCTCACCCCCATCCCTCACCCCCCCCCCACACCCACACATCAAAACAGATCACGACAACTCACCATGAGACCGGTCTGAGAGAGCATGTAGTGCATGGTCTGCATGACGTCGGCCGCGTGCACGTTGTTGTGGTAAGGGTTCTTGTACTTGCAGTATCCGGCCTCGATCTGCGTCAGGAAGGTCTCAAGCGTCGCGGGAGGCATCTGGGGGAAGGGAGGAGGGTGAATATAAGGGGATGTGAGGAGGGAGGGAGGGAGGAGGGAGGGAGGGAGGGAGGAGGAGGAATATAGGGGATGTGAGGGAGGGAGAAGGGAGGGAGGGTGCGAGGAGATGAGGGGAGGAGGGAGGAGATGAGGGGAGGGAGGAGAGAGGAGGGTGAGAGGGATGTGAGGAGGGAGGGAGGGAGGAGGGTGAATATAGGCGGGATGTGTGGGAGGGAGGGAGGGAGATGATGAGGGGAGGGAGGATGAATGATAGGGGATGTGAGGAGGAGAGGGAGGGTATGGAAGGGAGGGAGGAAGGGAGGGAGGGAGGGAGGGAGGGAGGGAGGAGAAGAAGAGAGAGAGAGAGGGTGAAATATAAGGGGGATTTGTGAGGAGGGGAGGGATGGGAATGGGGAAGGAGGAGGGAGAGGGAGGGAGTGGAGAGGAGGGAGGGAGGGAGAGAGGAGGTGGAGGGAGGGAGGAGAGAGAGAGAGAGGTGAGGGGGAATGTGAGGAGGGAGGGAGGAGGAAGGTAGGGAGAGGAGGGAGGGAGGGAGGAGGGTGGAGAGAGGGCGAGAGAGAGAGAGAGGAGGGGAATATAAGGGATGTGGTGGGAAGGAGGAGGGAGGGAGAGGGAGGAGGTGAATAATAGGGGTTGTGAGGAGGGGCGAGGGAGGAGGGAGAGAGGGAGGGTGAATATAGGGGATGTAAGGGGGAGGGAGGAGAGGGAGAGAGGAGGAGGGAGAGGGTGAATATAGGGGGATGTGGGGAGGGAGGGGAGGGAGGGAGGGAGGAGGGGGTGAAAAAATAGATGTGGAAGGGAGGAGGAGGTGGTGGAGAGAGAAGCGACGAGGAAGAGAGAGAGAGACGAGAGGAGAGAGAGAGAGGAGAGAGAGAGAGAGAGAGAAGGGACAGAGGATAGAGAGAGAGAGAGAGAGAGAGAAGAGAGAGGAGAGGAGCGAGAAGCGAGATAGAGAGAGAAAACGAGAAAGCGAGATCGAAAGACAGACAAACATACCGATAGAGAAAGAGAGTGAGAGTAGAGTGGAGAGAGAAAAAAGCGCAAGGGTAGGGAGAAGGGTGGGGGGGTAGGGAGCTCACCTGGATGTCTCAGAGAATTACTCGGGAAAGGGGCCCAAAGAAGGTCGAAAGGCATTAAAGAGAGAGACAATGATCCATGGAGAGGGAAGGAAAAGGAGCGAAGGGAAGGAAGGGAGGGAGGAGGGGAGAGGAGGAAGGGAGGAGGGAAGAAAGGGAGAAGGGGAAGGGAGGAAGGGAGGAGGGAGAGAGGGAAGGAGGGAGGGAGGAGGGAGGAAGGGAGGAAGGGAGGAGGGAGGGATGAGAGGGAGAGAGGGAGAAAGAGGGAGGAAGGAGAGGGAGGGGAGGGAGAAGGGAAGAGGGAGGAGGGAGGCGGGAAGGGAGGGAGGAAACTAGGAAGAGAAGAACGGGAGGGAGGGAGGGAGGAAGAGGAGGAGGGAGGAGAGAAGGAACGAAGAATGAAGGGAGGAATGGAAGGAAGGAGGAGGAAGAGGAGGAGGAGGGAGAAAGGAGGAGAGAAGGAGGGAGGGAAGGGGAAGGGGAGAGCAGCAAGGTAAGGAGGGAGGAGGGAGGGAGGGAAGGAAGGAGGAAGAGAGAAAGGGAGGGAGAAGGAACGAATGATGAAGGAGGAATGGAAGGAAGGAGGGAAGAAGGGAGAGAGGGAGAGAGGAGAAAGGGAACGAAGGACGAAGAGAGGACTGGAAGGAAGGAGGGAAGAAGGGAGAGAGGGAGAGAGAGAGGAAGGGAGGGTGAAAGCCTAAGGGAGACTAGAGGGGAGGAGGGAGTGGGGGAGTTGCCAATTAGGAGGAGGGGCTAGTTTGAAGGGAAGGAGAGGGGAAAAAACTGCCAAAGGGGAGACGTAAAGATTGAGGAAGAATGAGACAATGCAAAATGTAAAAGAAGATGAAAAACTCGTTAAATAAGACCGAATGAAAATAAAGTAAATAAAAGACACAATGAGGAGAGAGGGATATAATGAAAATAATAATAATGAAAATAATAATAATATAATAATTACAATAATAATGATGATAATAATAACAACATCAATAACAATAATAATAATGATGATGATGGTGATGATAACAATGACAATGATAATAATAATAAAGATAATTCTAATAATACTCTTAATGATAATGATCACAATAGTACTTTTAACCATAATGGTAATAATGATAGTAACAGCAACAATAATAATAACAATTATAATAATAATAATATCGATATTAACAAGAACAACAACAATGATAATAACAATGACGATGATGATAATAATAATAATAACAAAATTTGTAAAAACCTGAATTAATCATGCTTGCTAGAGACTATTATTTTTATCTATAAAGAAAAGAAAAACAAGATTTCTGCGAAAAAGTCCAGACATTTTTTTTTCTTTTTTTTTGCTACTCATTTATAATACTCAGGTTCTTATCTTTTAAACCGAGCACATGTATGCAATGACAACAATACCGACGATAACGATAACAACAGACAGATCAGCAATAAAACCATCAAACGAGAACACATAATAACCTCCACAAAAATCAAAAACAAAGAAAAATCACCTTGAACTTATGTAGGAGACCGTATCTGTTGAGAAGCTCGTACGCCAGGCAGCGCAGCGGGGTGTTGTTGCTCGCCTCCTGCAGTTTCCAAACGTTGAAGGTCCAGTCGTCCACACTCTGGAAGAGGGGTCATACGTCATTTTTTTTCGTTCCAAGCAAAGGGCGATGGGGTCTCTATATGTTGTTCCTGCCCTTTCACTAATTTATTGCTATATTCTCTGTCTGTCTGTCTTTCTCTTTCTTGTTTTCATTACCCTTTCACTAAAACTTATTACTACATTCTCTGTCTGTCTGTCTATCTGTCTTTCTCTTTGTTTTCATTACCCTCTCACTAACTTATTACGTCTATATCTGTCTTTCTCTTTCTCTCTTCTCATTACCCTTTCAATAACTTATCACTACATTCTGTGTCTGTCTGTCTATCTGTCTTTCTCTTTCTTGTTTTCATTACCCTTTCACCAACTTATTACTGCACTCTCTGTCTGTCTCTGTGTCTTTCTATTTCTTTCTTCTCATTACCCTTTCAATAACTTATTACTATATTCTCTGTCTGTTTGTCTATCTGTCTGTCTTTCTCTTTCTCTCTTGTTCTCACTACCCTTTCACCAACTTATTACTACATTCTCTGTCTGTCTCTATATCCGTCTTTCTCTTTTCTCTCTTTCTCATTACCCTTTCACCAACTTATTACTACATTCTCTGTCTGTCTGTATATCTATTTTTCTCTTTCTCTCTTCTCATTCCCCTTTCACCAACTTATTACTACATTCTCTGTATATCTTTCACTTCCTCTCTTGTTCTCATTCACACGTGTTTAAACATTCAAAGTAATACACTGACCAATATATCACGTGTGCCTCGCCATAAGCATGGAGTCACAACAGATAAACTTTTTTTTATCCTCTCCCACGTGTAAGTGACGAAGCAAACACAGCAAAAAGGGATAAAGAAAGCTAAAAATAGCGGAAAGGTCGTCCTCTTCTCTTCTTGTCAAGCACATACCTTCTCTCCTGCTCTACGTCCTCTAATAAAATGGATTTGGCGATCTGCTTGAAATGCTTTTCGACTTCGAAGAATTAAGGTAATCGTTTAAAAGCTTATGTCAGAACCAGACGTCACACACGAAAAAACAAAATCGAAAAGATTTTTGTTCATGTCTGTCTATATATGTTTGTGTTGTGCTTTGACACAGCACACAGACACACACAGACACACACACACACACACAGAGGGAGAGGGGAGAAGAGATAGAGAGAAGGATAGAGAGGAAAGAGAGAAAAGAAAGAATAGAAAGGGAGGGAAAGAGAGAAGAACGAAAGACAGACAGAGAGAAGAGACAGAGAAGAGATACGTATACCACACCTATAACTACACAGCCTTGTCATCCTCTGTTGGGGTCCCTCGCCCTGACCACTACTTCTAGTCAACCTCTTCCTCTACCTCGTGATAAAGCACTAATGAGGGCAAAGTAGAAGCAAGGGAATAGTGATGAGAAGCCTCTTGATGCTCGCTTTAGATGCATGGCAGTAAACACGCGTTTCCGTACATACAAATACAAAGATGTGCACACACGCGAAGACAGAGATAAAGACACATGCACATGCACACTCACACATACACACACGTTTTTTTTTTTCTTTTTATAATGACACACATGCTCTCTCTCTCTTCTCTCACACACACACACACACTCTGTCTCACTTCTCTCCCCCTCTCTATCTCTCTCTCACACATACACACTAGCAGCTAGCTAGCTCTCTCTCTCTCTCTCTCTTCTCTCTCTCTCTCTCTCTCTCTCTCTCTCTCTCTCTTCCTCTCTCTCTCTCTCTCACACACACACACCACACACTATAAAAAAAGAAAAAACCATCTCAATCTAGATAAGAATTTCTCTTTTCTGAGAACACTGCGAGAAGAAAAGGCCAACACTGTAGCCAATAACCAAGTGACGCGCAAATCCTCGCTGACTGAGCTAGATATTTTGCGATGTATTTATACCCAACTTTCACTCACTGGCCAGCTGTTGACTTGAAATGGAAGGGACGAGAAAGAAGAGGGAAAGAGAGATAGAGAGAGGGGGGGGGGGGGGAGAGGGAGGGAGAGGGAGAGGGAGAGGGAGGAGAGGAGAGGGAGAGGGAGAGGGGAGAGGGAGAGAGGGAGAGAGGGAGAGAGGGAGAGAGAGAAGAGAGAGAGAGAGAGAGAGAGAGAGAGAGAGAGAAGAAGAAAAGAGAGAGAGAGAGAGAGAAGAGAGAGAGAGAAAGAAAGAAAAGAAGAGAGAGAGAGAAGAAGAAAAAGAAGAAATAGAGAGAGAGAGAGTGAGAGAAAGAAAAAGAAAGAGAGAGAGAGATGAAAGAGATAAAAATAAAAAGTAATAAGAAACGGCATCTCTCTGTCTATTCACCCAATCACTCTCTCTCCTATCTCTGTAAATCAATACATCCCCACAGACAGGCAGACCAAGAACACCCCTCCCCCCCACCCCCCCCAAAAAAAGTAAAAAAAAAAAATGTAAAAAAAAAAAAAAAGTGAATGTGTGTGTGTGTGTGTGTGTGTGTGTGTGTGTTGTGTGTGGTGTGTGTGTGTGTGTGTGTGTGTTGTGTGTGTGTGTGTGTGTGTGAGTGAGTGAGTGAGTGAGTGAGTGAGTGAGTGAGTGAGTGTGAGTGCATGCGTGCTTGTGCGTGCGTGTGCGTGTGTGTGTGCAAGCCTCTTCCAGCCAGCGGGGTCCGAAGACGCTCTTTATACCTTGAGGATCTCGGTGACTTCAGGAGGCAGCTGAAGGAAGGTGGCAGAGGAGAGCCGCCGGTAGATCCTTTCCACGAAGATGCCGGCCCGGATGCGTTGGCTACTGACCTGCAGGAGGAAGGAGGGCGGAGGAGGAGGAGAGAAGGGGAGGAGAGGAAGAGAGGAGGAAAGGAGGAGGAGGGAGGGGAGGAGAGGGGAGGAGGAAGAGAGGGAAGAGGAGGAGGAGGAGGATGGGGGAGAGGAGGAGGAGGATGGAGGAGGAGGAGGAGGAGGAGGAGAGAGGAGGAGGAGGAGGAGGAGGAGGAGGAGAGGATGGGAGGAAGAGGGGGAGAAGGAGGATGGGGGAGGAAGAGGAGGAGGAGGGGAGGAGGGAGGGGGGATGGAAGGAGGAAGAGGAGGAAGAAACGGGAGGTGATAGACGAAGAGGGAGAGAGGGAATGGTGGAGAAGAAGAGAGAAGAGGAGGGGAAGATTGGTGGAGAAGAAGAAAGGAGGAGGAAAGGGAGGAAGTGGGTGGAAGAAAGAAGAGGTAAGAGGTAGTGTGGAGAAGAGAGAGAGAGGGAGGGTTAGTGTTGTAGAAGAAGAGGAGAGAGGAGAGGTGGGTGAAGAAGAAGAGGATACGGTGGTGAAGAGAGAGGGAGAGAGAGGAGAGAGGTAGGAGGAAGTAAGATCGTGACAGTAGGAGCATATAGAAAAGAAAAGAGAAAGAGGAATAGAAAAACCGACGAAAAAATCGGTAGGGTAAGGAAGGAGGGACAGAGAGGGGGAGGAGAGGAAACAAAAAAACAAAAGTGAATCACAGCTCAGCTTTTATTAGGCCCACGTACGTCTAGTCTTTCATAAGGGCCGCCGGGATGCCCCTAAATTACAATTTAGGGGCGCGAACTCCTCCCGGCTTGATGCTCTCTACAGTTTATTGGGAGCTGGCTGAAGGCCGCTGAATATGCTTCAAGTGGCTCTTGTTTATGTTTTTTTTTTACGAAATGGAGAGTAAGAAAAACAATTATTTTCATAATGGCATGTATTGCTTCAAACCGTATTGCATATATACAGTAATTTGTTTAATGCTTAAAGTCTCAGCTGTTTGCAAGAAGTCAAACAAGATGGCATGGTTTTCTAGCCATATTTCACATCAGTTTATATGAATAAAGAGCGGGAAAACATGCACTTAAAAATCTAAGATAATACAAGGAAATAATTGCTAAGATATCCTTTGATTTTGACCTTATGGCCCCTAAGGTTACTTGAGAGCATAATAAACAAGACAGGATTTACTCTTGTCCTTACTTCACCTAAATATATACAGGTAAACAATAAACAAGACCTGCCTATGCACTAATACCACCTAAGTTCGCATAAACAAGACCTACTTATGCACTAATACCACCCTTAATTCGCATTATTCGCTATAAACAAGACCTACTTATGCACTAATACCACCTAAATCCACATGACTAAACAATAAACAAGATGGGATTTATTTCTGTCCTTATAAGTTAACTGAATTTACAAAATTAGACGGGGTTAAAAAAAAAAAAAAAAAAAAAAAAAAAAAAAAACAGCATACACATTTACTCCTATTCCATCGAGGTTCACGAGGGCGAACAGTGAATATTAAAGAACTTCTGCCTTTTTTTTTCGACCGAAGTTAAAATGAATAGCCAATAAACACTATTGCACTTACACCTGATCCTATTCCAAAAGTTGGCCTTAAAACGTTCCAGCTCTTGAAAGCCGTAAGACTCTTGGAAACTCTTACCCCCTCGGGACTCTATTGGAAAACCTACCCCTCGGTGACTCTTGGAAAACCTACCCCTCGCGACTTCTGAAATGGAAACCTACCACTGCGGGACTCTTGAAAGGAAACCTACCACTCGGGACTCTTGAAAGGAAACCTACCACTCGGGACTCTTGAAAAGGAAACCTACCACTCGGGACTCTTGAAAGGAAACCTACCACTCGGGACTCTTGAAAGGAAACTACCACTCACTCTGAAAGAAACCTACACTCGGACTCTTGAAAGGAAAACCTACCACTCGGACTCTTAAAGACCACTCGGGACTCTTGAAAGGAAACCTACCACACTCGGACTCTTGAAAGAAAACCTACCACTCGGGACTCTTGAAAGGAACCTACCACTCGGGACTCTTGAAAGGAAACCTACCACTCGGGACTCTTGGAAGAAAACCTACCACTCACCTCTTGAAAGAAAACCTACCACTCGGGACTTGGAAGAAAACCTTACCACTCGGGAAAACCTACCACTGACTCTTGGGAAACCTTACCACTCGGGACTCTTGAAAGGAAACCTACCACTCGGGACTCTTGAAAGAAAACCTACCACTCGGGACTCTTGAAAAGAAACCTACCATCGGGACTCTTTGGAAAGACTCTTGACCACAACCTAACCACTCTCGGGACTCTTGAAAGAAAACCTACCACTCGGGACTCTTGAATGAAAACCTACCACTCGGGACTCTTGAAAGAAAACCTACCAACTCTACCCACACTCGGGACTCTTGGAAAGGAAAACCTACACACGGGACTCTTGGAAAAAGTAAAACCTACACCACTCGGGACTCTTGAAAAGAAAACCTACCACTCGGGACTCTTGAAAAACCTACCACTCGGACCTCTGAAAAAAAACCTACCACCTTGAACTCTTGAAAGAAAACCTACCACTCGGCCTCTTTTGAAAACCTACCACTCGGGACTCTTGAAAGACCACTCGGGACCTACCACTCGGGACTCTTGAAAAGAAAACCTACCCCTGACTCTTGAAAGAGACTCTACTTGAAAACCTACCACTCGGACTCTGAAAGAAAACCTACCACTCGGGACTCTTGAAAGAAAAACCTACCACTCGAAAGAAAACCTACCACTCGGGACTCTGAAAAACCTACCACTCGGAACTCTTGAAAGAAAACCTACCACTCGGGACTCTTGAAAAAAACCCTACCACTCGGGACTCTTGAAAGAAAACCTACCCCTACTCTTGAAAAACCTACCACTCGGACTCTTGAAAACCTACACTCGACTCTTGGAAAACCTACCACTCGGGACTCTTGAAAGGAACCTACCACTCGACTCTTAAAGAAACCTACCTCTCGGACTCTTGAAAGAAAAACCTACACTCGGGACTCTTGAAAGAAAACCTACCCCTCGGGACTCTTGAAAGAAAACCTACCACTCGGGACTCTTGAAAGAAAACCTACCCCTCGGGACTCTTGAAACCTACTCGACTCTGGAAACCTACCACTCGGACTCTTGGAAAACCTACCACTCGGGACTCTTGGAAACCTACCACTACTCTTGGAAACCTACCACTCGGACTCTTGGAAACCTACCACTCGGGACTCCTGGAAACCTACCACTCGGGACTCTTGGAAACCTACCACTCGGGACTCTAAAATTCTCTGAAACAAAATATTCTAAGGCAACCCTTGAAGCGCTACTGATGGTGCTAATAATGGCGGCGCCTCTTCTCTCGGAGACATGTCCTGAAGACCTAACAAGACTCCTTTGAAGATTCTAAAGTAGATACCTGAGAGATTTCCTCTTGAGTTCATCTATATAAGCTTCCCGAGTCACCTCAGGGAAGAAACGCCAACAAAAGGAAGAGGAGAAGAAGAAGAAGAAGAAAAAAGACACTGAAGGCTTTCCTGTAAGACCTCGATAGCCACTCCAGCCAAGTCTTTCCGGAAGACTAAATCCGACCTAATAAGTAAACAGAAACACGAAGGCAAAATTAGCTCGTCGGAACGAACGCCCTTTCCCTCTCGTCCGAATCCTTTACCTGAACCTCGGCTTCTCGTCCGAATCCTTTACCTGAACCTCGGCTTCTCGTCCGAATCCTTACCTGAACCTCGGCTTCTCGTCCGTCTTCCTGCGCGAGGTGGAGAGCTGTCGGGTGAAGGTCGAGGCGAGCCACTCCCGCACCTCCTGAGGGACGGCGTCGGGTTCCACCTCGGAGAGCTCGTCCTCCTCGTCGCCGACCTGCCTCCTGTGCGCGAAGGGACAACGGGAGGCGGTTAGTGAGGCGGAGGGCCTGCGCGGGGCCGGGAGGGTGGGTCGGAGGGGTGTAAGGTGGGGAGGAAGATGAGGGAGGGGGAGATTGGACGGGCCTGCCGTCACCGCATCTTTGGGTTATGTCTTCCTTTGCCTTTTTTGTCTTTGTGTGGCATCATTATATAAGGTTCCGAATTTAATTTTAACCACACACATACACACATAGGCCTACATATAAATATATGTCCATATGCGTGTATGCACATATACAGACACATGGAATTTTTAGGTAAACATCGAATGAATTTCCTGATACAACAAATTCACAAAATATAATTTGGCAGGACCTCTCGAACAATAAAGACAATTATAACCCAGAGAGGACTAAGCAGCATTGATGTCACTATGAGCGACCCCCGAGGGCACAGCTCACAAAATGACATCACTTTAGCTGAATGGGCGACTGACTCTGAAGTTCTTTTCGTAAATATGTATTTTTTTCTAGTTTCATTATTTTTGTATTTCATATTCATGAAGCTTTCACTTCTTTCTATGTTTCTTCTTAGTACTTATGGCTCATCGTTTGTAGAAAATAAACCATTTTGTTATATTCTTTTTTTCTTTTTTTTTGTATCACACAATAAATTCAACAAATAAACAATATAAACAGACAACAGGGTAAGTTTGCTAGTATCAAGCAAATTCCAAAACCGGGTGGTTTAATTTTTCTCTTTAGTAGATCTGTGTTAGTAAAGCTCTTTATTGAAGCTCCTCAATAAAAGCTTGGGAGTGTGAGGTCAGCCATGCAGCAGGAGGAAGCAGCGGCAGCAACAGCTTACGTCATGCACAGCCGGGCTTCTGCAACGTGTGTGGTCGTGGTGTTTCACCGCTCGCACACGCACACGCAAACACTCACGCACGCATGCACACACATACATATTCACTCACGCATGCACACAAACACAGACACATATTACCTCAAATAAGCACGTATACACACACACACACACACTTCCTCACGCACGCACACAGAAACACATGCACACACACACACTTCCTCACGCACGCACACAGAAACACACGCATTCTAACTCACTCACACGCGCAAGCACTCTCACACACACAACACAATATTTCCCTTTAATTCCTAAATCTTCGAAGTCATCTGCTTGAAACAACGTATCTCATAAATCTCGTCTTATAAGTCCTCAATTCAAACGAAGCCAAGACTCATAAATCTCTAATTGCTTTCTTCGCCACTCGAACAAGGTTAAGTAGAGAATGAAACCTTCCCGAGAGAGCCACTCATTTCGAGGAAAATAACGTGACATAATTCAGAAATGAGTGGTGGACAAGTAGCATGGGAAGGAAGGACTGAACCATACCTATGACTGTTTTCCATGTCGCATACTTATTTTCTTTATTTGTAAATATCTTGAATATACATTTCTAGCATATATATGAAAGATTTCTTAATTACTCCTTGAGAAAAAAAAATATATATTTTAGCATATATATGAGTTTACTTATTTACTCCTTGAGAAAAAAAAAAATACCCAGCAGAATACAAAATAACGAGCCGTCAGGAAAATAAACATCGAATTAAACAAACCCCCTTACAAATACATGCAGCTTCCCATCTAGTATTTATCAACATCTAGTATTTCTCACTCATTTCTATAAAAAAAAAAAAAAAACGAACCAAGACCCCCTTTTCGCCGCTTTCTACCCCCCCCCCTTCCCTTCCCTCTACACATCACCCACAGCGCTTCAGGTGTCCCCGACGATTCACATTTCGTCACTGATGTCGAGGACTTCATTTCACTTATTGGTCTGCAGGAGAGCAACGTCACGACCGCACAAGCGAGGATGATGTCCCCACTCCCCTCCACTTTTCCTCTTCATTCTCCCCTTCTTCATGTCATCAGCCTAAAAGCCTAAGGCTGAGTATCTTTTTTTTGTCCTTTTTTTTGTCACATACGCTTTTCTCTCGCATTGGGAGGGCGTATTCATCATCATCTTGAGCCTCGTGCTGTAGGTCCGCGGCTGCTCCCAATCACAAAGGCCAGCAGTAGTAAAGAGACTTTGCCCCTTTAGGAACACTAACTCTTTTATGAACAGGACATGTACCACTGCTACCCGCGTCGACTCCCCCCCCCCAACCCCCACCCCTGCACCCTCCCCCACTATACCCCTTTCGCCCTCTCCCTCTGCAATGGTGGAGGGCTGTAATTATTTTCTTTCTGTAGACTACAAAAGAGAGGGGAATTTAGAGAGAGAGGGAGAAAGGGAGAGAAATATATAAGCATACATACATACACATACACACACACACACACACACACACACACACACACACACACACACACACACACACACACACACATTATATATATATATATATATATATATATATATATATATATATATATATATATATATATATATATATATATGAGAGAGAGAGAAGAGAGAGAGAGAGAGAGAGAGAGAGAGAGAGAGAGAGAATAGTAAATAAAAATCACAGAACAGAATTTCCTTCTATTACAACATAAACACGAGGGTAATAAGCAGAGTAATTACCGATCATACTGCCTTTCTCATTTCATATTTAGCCAAGTAATTATCATCAAATTCATTTTTTTCTTCCAGCTTTTTTACGAAAATAATCATCGCTGGTTTCCATCCCAATAGCCCCTTTGAAATAAAGTCTCTGACAAAACTAATTAAAAGAAATTATACACAAAGCTAAAACCAAACAATAAGGGAACAAATCCCACCAAGAGCCGTAACTGATACTAATTGCAAGCGTTACAGTGCGACGGGAAAATAATTTTCTATTCGCTTCGCATTGATGTAGAGGTCCGCGTGCAACCAGCCATTTTTATGGGAAAACATGAATAGAAGCTTTGCCAATAGGGTTCAATGATCTCTTTATTGATGGCGCACTTAACCAGAATTGGGAGCGATGTGCGGTTGACTGACTGTCAAATAAACCGGGTCGAAATGTAATATTTTGTCGAGGTGTCAAATGCGGCATGGGTTTGTGGCACCGATTTTTCGTGCGGGAGTCAAAAAGCGCGTCGTTTTCGTAACATATCACGTTATCAGAGGTAGTTATGGATACACACAGTGACATATTTCTTAGTCTTAAGCTTGCCGAGACACGCCATTACCTTCTCGGGGGCAAGAAAAGTACATACCGGTTCCCATCTCACGTACGCGAAGACGCACACACATGCAACGTATACACAGCCGCACACGAAAGCGCATACACCCCGTAAACGCTGAGCAGTTTGAATGCCATACACAAGACCCACATCACCATGCAATTCTCTTCGAAATTTCAATCGTAAAAAAAAAGAGGCAAATTCACAAGCAAACGCGCACAAACAGCAAAGAAATCAAAAACACTAACGGAAAGCGTGTTTCACAGTTCACGCAAATCATACTTCTCCTTAGAACCTTCTGGATTCTCATCGGCTGCAGATTTGGCCTTCTCCATCATGGCGCGTGTGCTTCGGTCTCCGCGGCTTCCAAAAATCACAAGTGCTTTCCGAATTCTTCAGCGTCAGACGGAACAAAGAGCTATTTACGGCCACGTTAATTATACCCCGATATCCTCTCTCGTTCTAATGACAGGGAAGTCGAGCACTGATAGCCGAGGCAGACTCCGATTGATTGCTATTGCACGGATCAGCTGATGGTTTAAAAGTCTATAAGCAGATTCGCTGCACATAACGAGCACTGGCGGTTGGCAGCTAACAAGGCCATTGGACCAAGCACTTTTACAAACAATTCGAACTGTGGCAGAACTGGTTTAAAAGATAAATGAGTTATTTCATGATGGTCACTTCCGGAGGCTGTAGCATTTTCCTTGTAAAGTTTAATGATACATGAAATCGACAACAGCTGGAGCTTATGAAATACTAAATGTTATGGGGAAAAAATCAGATCAGTCAGCTTATCGAACAACTGTGCTAATTGGGCATCCAATAATTGCCATAATCATCATCATTATCATCACAATTCTTCCAGTCAAGCCAATATAATATCGAACTCAGGTTAAACCCACGACACATGGATGAAAGTCTAGTCAGAATCGAAGTCTAAGATGAATATTCAGTACTACAATCGACAATTTTGCTTTCGCTAAACAAGACGCACTTCCACTGGTGATCTTAGACAGACGCTCGTGCATGGAGACAGGCAGACGCGCATTCACAGACTTGACAGACATGTACATAGACACACAGACAGACAAGAACAACGAACATGACGTGTAAACAAAAACATATAGGAAAGCATGCAGGGACATTGACGAATTCACGTACACGGACACAAATACTCACACACACACAAACGCGCTTACGTGAACAGACAGACGAGCATGCAGGAACAAACGTCGACGCGGAAACACAGGCTTGATAGACAAACAGACAGACGAACACATACAAAATGGCGCGCACACACAACCACACTCAACGGACGCAAGAACTGACAAACACAAAGAAACCCGTATAAAACACAGAAAGAGGAAACATGCAGAGAAACAGACATACGAGCATACACAGACATGACAGACGGACCTACACATAACACAAACCACAGAATCAGACCCGACAATACTTCCAAAGGGCAAGACCGAAATATATCAGACACCTACGTCTCCCTAACCCCATGTATCAGTGATATCTGGCTCTCCACGATCGCTCCCTGCGTTCGGACAGTGCCAGATACCCAAGACTGACTTCGTTCTTAAAGAAATGACCGCGAAAAGAAGCGAGGAAAGGTAATATGGACCAAAAACCGACGCCTCAAAAGGAGAGCCGTGATGCGCAATTCCCCGGGTTTGTCAAGTCGTTTTATTGATTTTCGCGAAAGAGAAATTGTAGGGGAAGTAACGGCGTAGCAGGGAGGGACGGAGAGCACAGGGGATCGTACCCCCCCCCCCCCACCCTTAAGATTTATGACTCGTTTGCTTGAAATTTATTG